CCAGCAGACGAAATCACTTCGCGACGGCACTGGTGTAGTCGAACAAAGTGCGTAACTCGGTCGTCGAAAGAATTTCGGGAATTCGTGCGAACGTATGTCTGTACGTCTGTACAATCAGAGTATAAAATAAGAAATAAACAGAGTTAAATAAAAAGTGTTTATCGAACGAGACGTGTCGCAAGAGCGTCTTCGTAACGCTTGAAAGCGTCTTTCAAGTCCGCGGTTGCAGCTTTTAGGTTAGGTTTCACCTGTCACGCGTGAAATACGAATGCTTTTCAAATACGAATACAGAAGAGTGCATAACAACGATAGAGTGCGTTAAAAAAAATCACTTGTCTTTGCTTCGTTACCATATTTCGCCGTTATTTGTGAAATGGGAACAAAAAAACGTGGCAATACCAGACCACGACACGTCAATCGTTCGGTTATCGTCGAATCCCTCGAATTTGTTGTGTTGTTTTCATCGTATCTAAGGAAACCGGTGCTACCTGCGTCACTAACCAATAGCCTCTCGCACAACGTTTAACTCTATTTCTGGTCCGTTTTTCGCTTAAACAAAGCAGAACTTGCACACACGTCTGTGCATAAAAACTTTATTCCGTTTATTCTGCAGACATGTTATTTCATTATGCCGGTTTTAATGTCAGCACGTTGTTCTCCAACGACGGGGATATTACGTATATAGTAGATTCGTTTACCGAAGTACCGTTTCCTGGAATCACTGACTTTCAAATAGGTTGGAGTTACTTCCTCGTTTGGAAGGGACAACAATTGTACATTTCCAAAAAATCTGAGGACAGTGGTACAGACTCGAGCGTCCAACCGATACAAATACCAGAAAAATCATTAGACAGGTAGATTCTGGAGAGTACGAATAATTAAAAATACACGTACATTTCAATTGAACGTTTGTATTCTTATAGTTGCAAGCACGCCGCGATCGGCAAAGACAATGTAGTAATTTTGTCTAATGACAATGAGATATGGCAGTACAAGATTTACGAGGATACTTGGAAAAAAGTGATCAATTTCATTGGTAGCGGCGATGATTCAGAGAAAGAGTATGTTGTTAAAATAATACAAAGAGGATGCACCGTGGCCCTTACTAATTTAGGTGATTGTTCGAAGCATCCAGACAAAAGTGGACTAATCGCGATTTCCTTGATCGTTGCACCGAGTATTTTGAATTGGCATCTGTTTTTTTTTTTTCTTTTTTTTTTTTTAAGAAAAAATTACATAGTTTGTCAAATACTGGAATTAGTTCACTTTGTCTTATTTTAAACTTCAAATATAGAATATAAAATTATATATAGAATATAAAATTAAAATATAGAATATAAAATTAAAATATAGAATATAAAATTATATGTACACGTCGTAATTGTGGTTTAGGTCGTGCTTTCAATGTTCCCACTCTGATTGATATTCCAAAAAGGGTTCGTTTCATAGATGTTGCTGGCGGATTTGACCACACTGTCTTTTTAGCAGAGAATGGTGACATCTATTCAATGGGGATGGGAACGTACGTACTTGATCGTGTATTATTTCACAAATCGATATAGTCAAAGTAAAATGGATTGATTCGTACGGAACAGGCGTGGTCAACTAGGACACAACGATTTAGAGGACTGCGACAATCCAAAAATCATTGACGCCTTAGCTGGTATTAAAGTAACACGAATTTCGGCCGCGGGTTGGCATACTGCTGTAATAACTGACCAAGTAAATAGATATTTTGTCCGCTGTTTACGGATGTTTACGCACTTTCGGGAAATCTAAGGTAGATCGCTTGTAATGATATTTAATGGGCGAAATAAAGACTTTCTGTTTTAGAAAAAGATAATAAGATAAAATTGTATAAACATCCGCAGTCTACAAATATCTTTCGTACTAATGAGATAGATCAGAGGAACGATGAACACACTTATAGCAACAAACACATTTTTTAAATCGCAGGGTGATTTATACACGTGGGGATGGAATACAAACGGAGAATTGGGATTGACAAACCAAGAGAGCAAAGTAATTGCTGTACCGACGTTAGTAGATTTCACGAACGATCAGAACGAGAGTGTAGAGGTATCTGTGAAGAAAGTTCAGTGTGGAAATACGTTCACCATTTGTATGACGGGTAAAAGAAAGAAAAGAGAGAAAAAAATATTCGATAACTGATATTCAAGAAAAGAAAGAAAGATGTATTGCAGAAATTCACTTTTTTGTAACAGATGATGGCACGCTGTGGGGTTGCGGATGTAACAAGTACGGACAGTTAGGGCGATCTCCGGAAAAACTTCCCAGCTCGCCAAAATTTGTTAAGCTCGATGTTCCTTTAAATTCCGACAATATTAAAGATTTCAAGTGTTCTGAATGGGGCACAGTCCTCGTAACAGACTGATATTGTAAGTTTTTACGATGGTTGGTTTCACAGGGAAGAAATAAAGAGATTGTTTCTCAAAGATTGTCTTGTTTGATTATTTAATATCGCTATGTGTCAGACGTGTCGAATATTTCCGACGATTCGTTCGCTTCTATTAATGGTAAAATAAATGAACGATTGTACATCAACTTCACTTCATCGTTCAAAGAGGGTGGAGGTGTTGGTGGTACTTCGGGAATCGTTTTGATCTTTTTACCTGTAACACAAAGATCATTGTCAATTGTTTTTATTTGTTAATTATTTGAGAAAATTACTGACTGAATTCCTATTGTAAGAAGTATCTGTTCTTCAATTAAATGTAAAGAGAAAAGTGAAAAAAAAAATCTCATCAAAAAAATCTTTTACCTTTGGCATTGCTCTTTTTAGAGTTTTCCACTGTGTCGATCATTCTCAAACTTTTTTGCAATTGCACATTAAAAGGAATCGTCTTGGGATCTGCCAGTTTTATCGGGCGTGGTGTTCGAAAAGTAAATGGTAAGTTATAAGCCTGTATTTCAATTGGTTCCACGAAGACTGCATAAATAAGAGCATAACGCAACTCGTTCGCGTACCTATTTAATAAAAATTGCCTTCATTTCCTTGTATCAATGTTAATTAATGATAAAATAAAACACTTACATGTCGTAAGTATCCTCGATCACTATATCCAATGCCAAAACTGGATCGATGTTACTCGAAAATCTGGCGTCATCTTGAGGAAAGTGTTCTCGTAAACTTCTCGAAAAAATACAGGACTCGTTATTCAAGCATATGACAAAAGTTCACAAGATTGGCTAAACTACCTTTTTATCGATTGACCTCCCGTTGACAGTCTTTCTTCTGTTTCTGCCTGCGAGTCGTATTCGTCCACGATTTCGTCCCAATACGGCACTCGGTTCTGTTCAGATATTTTGTCAGCCGCCACGGCGAAAATGCCTCTCATTTCTCTAAAAAAATCTTCCCGAGTATGTTTCCTATCTTGTTAAATAAAGAATTAATCATTTTGCTAATAATTTGAATTAATTATACGAATTTGCGTGAACGAAATTACGTAATTACGCAACGAGCGCCTCGATACTTACGAACGAAGGCGTGTAAGTATGTCTAGTAAATTGATTACCTCGGAGCAATCTAATTTCTCCGGCCAACCAGCTGATCAAAACACTCGTGTAATATTCATCGAGATCTCCTCTGTGTCGTACCACGTAAAACGCCAACGTGTCCAAGAACCAAAAGGACGCCATGTTCGTGGCATAATCGGTAATGCCAAGAAGATTTCCTAGTAATCTGCGGAGAGAAAGTGTCCCGTATGTATTTCGACTTATCGAATACGTTTATCAACGTTTATCAACGTTTCTGACTTGATGAGCTCCCGAGGTTCGTCGTTTTCGACGTTGATCGGCGTGTCAAGCAAGCTCTTGAACGTACGTGGAAGTGTTGGCAGAAACTTTTTGACGAACTCGTCGATCGACCCTGTCTCGTTTCGCTGTAATTTCATGAGCGATCTAAATTTTGTGAATTTACAGTTGACGCGTTAAATTCTTCGTCGACCGACGAGCGAGATACGACGATGGGAAAGGATAGAAATGAAAATTTTTCGATTGAAAACCTTGCCCGATCGATCACTTCCGTTCTCGGTGGTTGTCGCTCCCAGGTTGGACATTTTTATCCTCGTTTTACCGATACGCGAATCTTCCGAAACGACGAACGCGGAATATCTGTACTAAACGTTCGCCTCTCGTTGAAGTCGAATGGAATCTAGGAGGCGTGCGCCGCGTGATTTTGTCGGGATAGACAGTAATAAAAGAACAGTCACAGTAGAACGGTTCGTTCGTTTTTTTATTCATTGATTTTATTTTTTAATTTTTTTTTTCCATATTTTGTTCAATATTTTCAGAAAATAACACTCCAAAGCGAAAAAACCGTATATTCTCACCAATCCCAATGTGTGTATAATATATATATATTATACTTCTCATATATAATATATATGTATATATATATAATATATATATAATGTATACTTTTATACTTTATATATAATAATATTATGTAGAGTATAGCGCACACTTTAGACTGTTATCGATACTTTTTATAATTTTATCGATAAATTACAAATATTGAAAAACATGAAACAGACACAGCCGGCGGAGACACGGGGACTTGGGCGTCCTGGGACATCTTTCTACGGAACCGTGAAAAAAGATTCTTTTGTTCTTTCGAACGCGCTCTGTCGCGGCTTCCGTTTCGCTCGACGGTTCCCGGATTCGCTCGTGGCCACGTATGTGGTTCGTTCGATCGGCCACCGTTCTTGAGAAAGAGACCGAAAGATATGAAGT